GAATGACACCTTGTCCCATATTTGAAATTCATTACTTGTCAGTTTAGAGGTGTATTCTGTGTTTTGTGGAGTTTATTCCTGAACAATGTTTCTGCCCATGCAGTGCCCCACAGATATGGTCCATAACTCACATGTCCATATGGTGAGATACCTCAGACATTGTAACTCCCAGTTCACTTACATGACTTAGTTCTTCAATTCTATTTTCAGTCCTTCAGGAAGTACACAGAACAGTAAAACACTAAGACCTGCTGCTCCCAAATCCTGAGTTAGTATTTTCATTAATACATAAATCTTGCAAAGTAGTCTCCAGATTTTTTTTAATATAGTTGGAGATATGGTGCCTGTGCTGTCAACACTAATTGCCTTTGACAGTGCCTCAAGGATTTCTGTTTTGGAAACTAAAATATTTCATACCTCTAAGTATAGCTCCTTTGAGAAGAGTCTAAGAGAACTAAATATTTGCTATCCCAAAAGACAAGATTTCTCATTACAACCTAGCATTTGTTGCTATGGGGCATGTAAAGCATTGAGCTCTGTGATCCCTGTCATGAGAAAGAAGTGGATCTGTTGGAGCAGGTCCAGAAGAGGCCAAGAAGATGATCAGAGGGCTGGAGCACCTCTCCTATGAAAACAGGTTGAGAGAGTTGGGATTGTACAGCCTGGAGAAGAGAAGATTCCAGAGAGACCTCATTGAGGACTTTTAGTACCTAAAGAAGGCTACAAGAAATTTGAAGAGGGACTATTTACAAGAACATGTAGTCACAGGACAAGGGGTGATGGCTTTACATTGAGAGATACTAGGTTTAGATTGAATATTACGAGGAAGTTCTTCATGATGAGGATGGTGAGATACTGGAACACAGGAAAGCTGTGGTTGCCACATCCCTGAGAATGTTCAAGGCCAGTTTGGAGGTGGCTTTAGAAACCTGGTTGACTGGAACATGTTCCTGCCAATGGCAGGGGGATCTGGCACTAGATGATCTTTAAGGTCCCTTCTAACCCAAACCATTCTGCGATGCTGCATGATTCTGTGACGTGCTTAAGTGCTTTCTGGAACAGGACTGAATAAACGCTATCCACGTCTACTGCTATTTGAACAAAATCTAATGGATTCTAATTGTCCTTAGAGAAACTCCATCGTTTGTCATCAGGAACAACCTTCCATCAGTGAGGTTACCTGCAGAAATAGTTGACTCTCCACTGTGGGAGGTTTTATAGAACAGACTAGGTAAACATGTCAGGAGCAGCTCAAATGCAGCTGATCTGCCCAGGGCAAGAGAATGGACTACAGGGGTATTTTAGGTCTTCTCAAGAGTTATATTCTAGAATTTCTACATCATAATGAACATGTTGGACTTTCATTTAGTGCCCGTTATGTCACATTCCCTGCTCTCTATCTAAATATATGAAACAAAAAAAGCCTTTGCAAATAGAACCTAATAAACATTTCTAGTGAATCTGAACATGGCCCAAAAACTGTTTCATTGATTCTGAAACAATCCACCAACTTAAGCTGATTTTGTCAAGCTGCATTTACAGGAGGGAAAGCAACATGGATAAATTCACACAAAAACCACATTCATATGGGTCCTTCTTTCTTCCTTTTCACTAACACCCACCCACTTGAATTATTTTGGTCTATGATATTTACAGCTCTGCCAGATACATTGACACATATATTTAGTCTCTATAGAGGGCAAAATGCAATAATAATGTGATAAGAAATACTGCATTTTTCATCTGCAAACATTGAAGTCACTGTTTACTCAGACAGCCAACAAAGCTGTTAATGATGAAGTGAAAAGCAAGGATGTGGTGTTTAAATATATAGGCCATACCTAAACATTTATCAATTTCTTGTGCACTAGGGTGTCCTTCAGGATTAAAACCTAAAAAGCACAGAATTTAGCTAGAAGCATGCAAGTAAAAAAAAAAAAAAAAAAAAACAGTAAAACCCCAACACTTTTGCTAATTCCACTGTCTGTAGTCATGGGATCCTATGTGGAAGCATGCACAGAAAAATTTGGATGTGACTGGTTCTGACACATACCATGACCTCTTATATTCCACTGCCTTTTCACTCGCTTTACAAAAGCCATTCAAAATTGCAGTCTCTGAGTCTGGGAGACACCTCTCTTCTCAGGCACTCTCTGAGAATTATAGGAGATTATAGGGTGGGTCATGATCCTTTCACATCTATTTAAAGAGATGAAGATCCAGCCCCAATAAGCTGTGAAATCTAGCAACAGTTTGCTAAAAACCACTATGGTAATCACAGATGTAAGGTGGCAAATCTTACAGTATTGCAAACAACCAAACACCTTTTCTCTTATCTAAAAATCTACACTTTCAGAAAAGCAAGTACATAAATACAAAGCAGGCTTCACAGGACACCCGTCCTGGACAGTAAAAGCTGTTTTCCAAAAGGAAAGCAACAATTATCAATTATCAACAATTAAGACAGAAAAAGGACCAATTTATATAGAAAAACTTGCATACAGACAGTCAAGGAAAGTTTTGAGTGGAAGGCATGAAAGGAGGATGGCCTCTGGACTGACTGATTATCCTTGGGCTTAGAGTGCTGCATCCAGCTCTGGGATCCTCAGCACAGCAAGGACATTGAACCTGCTGGAGCACATCCAGAGGAGGTCCCAAAGATCCTCAGAGGGATAAAGCACCTCTCCTATGAGGGAAGGTAAGAGAATTGGGATTGTTCAGTGTGGAGAACAGAAGGCTTGGGAATGACCTAACTGCAGCCTTCCAGTACCTGAAAGGAGCCTACAAGAAAGCTGGAGAGAGACTTTTTACAAGGACATGTAGCGATAAGACAAGGGAATGGCTTTAAAGTGGAAGATGGGAGGTTTAGATTAGATATAAGGAAGAAATTCTTTACTGTGAGATGGCGGAGGCATAGGTACAGGTTGCCCAGAGAAGTTGTGGTTGCCCCATCCCTGGGGCAACCAGGGATCAAGATCAAGTTGGATGGGGCTCTGAGCAACCTGCTCTAGTGGAAGGCATCCCTGCCCATGGGATTAGATGAACTTAAGGGTTCCTTCCAACAAAAGCCATTCCATAAGTCTGTCATTCTACAAAAGAAGGGAAGCCTTTTCTTTCCAAATTTGGGACATGTAATTGAGGATGGAAAAGGAAGTAGAAAACAATCATTTCCTATGAGAGATGGACCATGAATAAGAATTTATGTGATACATTAGATTATTTGGTTACATTTCATATGGTAGTTTTTCATAGAAAGCAAAGGGCTATCTTGGATTTGTACAGCAGCTGGTACATCTAACTTGCACTAATTAGTTCTGATTCAGAACTGCTGATAGTATGTTGGGCTGTCATAAGGAAAAAAAACAAATACTACACTTCCTGTCTCTTTTGCCTGCATTGGACCCTTAAAATATATATGAATTTTTAAGGGACTAAACATGTTGTTCTCCCATTACCCTGATTAAATGTATGGAGAGACAGCAAATTTGAAAATGGCACCCTGGACTCTGTCAGCACCCTGCCTTGGAAAGGCTATTCCAGTTTCTATGCTATAGTTTTCTATTGTTTTCCTTTAAATCAGAACTTTTTCTTTTTTTTTTTCGTAAAATGAGAAAGATTTGGAGTTGGCCCTGTATCTATTATCCTCAGCATAGAATTTAGAGTTCAAATTCCCCTGTACAGGACCAACAGCATACCTCTCAGACAGCAATGAGTTTAAGGAAGATGGGGTTGGGGGTTATATACTTCGATGAGGTTGGAATAAAAAGAGTGTCTTCATCAGATACAAGAGATAACAGAAATACACTTTCACCATTTTCAAGCATAAAGATTTGTGCTTAAAATTTTTTAAAAAGACAGATATTAGCTGTCTGTGCCTTCAAACTGTGACTCAAATGTTAAATCATTCATGGGATGTATCCTACATTAGTGTTAAGAGTCATTTGTTCTGATTTCACTCAAAACCAGAAAGCTTGTTCTCATTAATTCTGCAAGCTTCTTTTGCTAATTAATTTTTACAATAAATTTCTTCATTTCTTCTAGAGTTTTGTTCTAGCCACCTGCAATTCTGATTTATCTTTTAAATAATCACATCTAAAATGTCATGTAGAACTACAATTTCTGTCTGATTTTTACATTATAAAGGAGGAAAGCTCTTAAAAATAATCATGCCTATGGGAAACTTCTTGCCAACAACTTTTAGAGCTTGAAATGCCTTATTTGCCATGACAACAATGAAAATATTTATAATTTCCCTCATCTTTGATACTGGTCTGGAGATTTGCAGTTTGCAGTCCATGCCCACCCTATTTCTGTTTCACTCTTTAAGAACACAGCAATGCATTGCTTGCTTCTGTGGGGTTTGTTTTCATCTTTGAAGCACAAATGTGGGTGAAGGCAAGTAGTTTAGATTGCTAATATATTTAATAATCATCTGGAGGCTGGCAAAAGCAGATTAGAGCTGGGGGTGACAAAGAAAGTTTTTGAATGCTTGCACTGGCTACAGAAGAAAAGCAAAGATGTGTAATCTTCTTCTGTGTATCTGTTCCTCATGCAGAGACTCTTTTGGTTGATCTCTGTGAACATGGACTGTGGAAAAGCTCAGCCCAATGTCAGTTGCAGAAATGTGAAAAGTCATATTAAATTTTTTACACAGGACCTAATCACTGGAATATTAATAACCTCAGCAGTTATCAGCAAGTAGAAAAGATATATTCTCTTTTGGGGGGTAATCACAGATGCCAAGTATCAGATAAAGTACACCAAAGATGAGAAAACAAAAGTTTTCTACGTTCCCTTTGACAGACTGCAATTGAAAGGACAAAGAAGTTTGCAACATAATCAAGGTCAGAGGGATAACACTATTTGTGTATATATCCTCTACCCTAATCTAATGCCTTAATAACTCATCCTTTGAATCTTATACACCACTGCATGGCTTTTCTCAGGTTTGAGACATCTAACTCATTACATATATTTTAATTCTTAATCTGTTAAATTACCTCCTGCTTTTTCTGCAGATTTTCATCGTCTGTAGCAGATGTTGTCTTCTCCCATTTCTCTGCAACTTGATTTGCTTCTTCTATTTTTTGCACATAGCTTTTCTGGGAATTTAGCAGCGTCACTTCATAAAACTCTTGAATATCTGTTTATAAAAAGGAACAAGTAAAAAACATTATTTCCATATTGGCTTTGACACCCTGGTGTTTTCCTTTGATACATACTTACACATTTTCATCATAATGATAAACATGTACTACATTTTCAGTAGAAAGCACCAATATGCAAAGGTTTAGAAAAACTTTTAGACATTTTTTCTAAGATTTCTATGAGATTCTTGAATCATATTCTCATTTTAAAGAGGTCTTTAGAAAAAAAAATATAAAAACATAAAGGAATAACATTATAAGAAGAGATTCAGGCACATCCATGTTACAGGCCCACACAAGTAGAACAGACCCTTGTACAGGGAGAAGTCACAGATTGCTTTAACCAGTAAGCTAGAAATTTTCAAATGTAAAATACCTTAAGAGAAACTTGTTGACACCCATCCAAGGTACCTGAATCACTCTCAGCCCTATCTGCAGGAGCATTTTGCATTTTTTTCAAGTGAGGTGCACAGGTTGAAGTAATATTTTGTGGACTCACCACTTCAGTCTGTTGCCATCCAGAAGTGGCTGGGTAATGTTTGGTTTCAACCTAGAATAAGCAACAAGCTAGATCTTAAAATATCCTGTTCAAATGTTTCTATCATATTTATTTCCATGGGATATGATCAGATATATAGAAGATCCAACAGTGAAAACAGTTTTATTGAAACCTGTGCACGAAATGACTTAAGGAAAGGGGGAAAAAAAGCGTTCCCTTCCTTGGGCAAGAAGTTTGCAGTCCAGTAGTCGCACACAAAATGTGTCAAATTGTCCAGTGGAAATAATTAACTTATCAAAGAAAAATAACCTTCACATTATTTGATTTATTAACAGTGGATTTTCTCCTGGATAAGAAAGGAAGATTGGATCTACCTGGATTCTGCTTGGGACTTCAAAGGAAAAGTTTTTTATAGTGTTTGTGCTTATCCTCACATTCAGTCTCTGGCCAGATATCAGAAGTCTCTCTCTTCCCTGTCTTTAGGAACAGCTAAAGTTGAACTTTCCTTCTAACTTTTACAACTGTCCAGCTTATTATGTATTCTATTTGTCACGTACAATGGGAAAAAAAGAATCACAGAATCACATTTAAGGTTTGAAAATACCTCAAAGACAAAAAAGTGCAACCTTAACTAAATGCCACCATGCCCACTAAACCATATCGTTTAGTGCCAGATCTACTCATTTTTTTAACACCTCCAGGGATGGTTACTGCACTACTTTCCTGGGCAACCTGTTCCAATGCTTGAACCCTTCCAGTGAAGAAATTTTTCCTCATATCCAACCTGAAAGTGTCCTGGCACAACCTGAGGCCATTTATCCTTGTCCTGTTGCTGGTTACTTGGGAAAAGATGCTGATCCCCACCCTGCCATACTAACTTTTATTTCACACACGTATTTGTAAGAATTTGTCTTTCATGTTACTACAAACAATTAATTCTACATTAAAATTAAAACCTGTTTTTAAAACAAAAAGCTACAGGATAGCTGCAATGAGAAAGAAAGTTTCTCCATTCTCAATACAGGGAACTTTTTACCGTTGGTTTGAATGCTCCTAGTACAATTGAAACAGTTGTAATATATGGTTCAATGCCAGGTCAATTTGTATTGCAACAGCAAGTAAAATACATCAGGCTAATATGTAATTATCTCTAGACAAATACTTCGCAGAAATAAGCTAGAAATTGCCCTCTGGCAGTGGCATTCAGCTGGCATCACTGACGTTATCAGGGCATTAATTGGGTTGACAGTATTCAGTCAAGGAACAGTAGAACGGTGCTTTCGCCCTAACTTTAAAGCCTATCTTGCCCTAGTGTTTTCATTAAAAATGATGTGTGAGCCACATTTGCATGTGTATGCACATGTGCAAAATAAATATTAAAACCTCAGTCTCTTTGTAAAGGTCTTTATCTATTCTGAGGAGGCCACAGGTTGCTTTTGCTGGAATAATGATCACTGGTGTGCAGAGAAAAGCACTTCAGTGCTTATGCGGTCACAGAAGAAAGCACAGAGGATTCACTTAGTTGGCTGCTTTGTAATTCCATAAGCTGAAATTGCCATTTCTGTGGAACAAGGGCAGCCAGAAACTTGCAGTCAGACAAAGTTTGCAAAAAATAGGTTTTGCAATTTGCTCAGAGTAAAACCTGCTCTATCAAGTAATCTCTGCTACACGAGAGGCGCAATCATACTAGGAGGGGAAAAGTGTTGAATACTGCTGAGGATAGAATGGGAGTAAGCAGCTGTGGAATCAAGATTGGAACCGCAGTCATAAAAAGGAGTCATGGAGGCATGGTAATTGTTATGTAAAATGAGCAAAATACAGTCTGTCTCCTAGTGGGGGTTTACAGGAAAGTAATTCAACAAAAAGTCTAAAATCTAATCACAGAAAACAGAAATCATATCATGCCTTTGGTTGGAATGGACCTTAAAGACCATCTAGTTCTACTTCCCCTGCCATGGACAGTGAAACCTTCCACTAGACCAGGTTGTATCAAGCCCCATCCAACCGACCCTTGAATATTTCTGGGGATTAGGCATTTCTTACACAAATTAAATCTGCACCTTGCATTTTGTGATACCATATTCTATCCCATGAAAACAAGTTCAGATTTCATGTAGAAATGGAAATAATACTATTGATGAACTTTGTGAGCACAAAACACATCTTCATTTTGAATCTCTTTACTGATCTAAACATTTTGTTAAGCGATTAACTCATGTTTGTTTAAAGTGTCAGTGACTCTCACTGGATTTTCTGTCTAACAGAATTTGTTCATTTACCTCTTAAGAGATTATTTACTTTATTTAATAAATTCTGCTTGCTTTCCCTTCAGCCTAGCCAAAATATTTCATCCGTTTTGCTATATAAAGATAAATTGCAGACAATAAATTTTATATGTGTGTGTGTGTGTATATATATATATATACATATATATAGTCCAGTGCAAAGTAATTCTAAAGATAATGTGACTTATTTTATTTTTGATAACTCCATCACTGGGGAAGAGGAAAACAAATTTTCTGTACATCAGCGTGATAGAGTACATATCAGTAGCATTTTGTAATTGCCCATGGACAAGCATATCATGGCTGGCTGCATTTGTTCTCTGCAGGAAAGGTCTAAGAGTCCCCACTTCTCCTTCCTTACAGTGCAGGAGTGAGGAGGGTCTAACCTTTATAGATATGTCAGAAAGCACTGTGTGTTATTAAAGCTGGAGACACTTCTCAATTTGAGGCCTTGGGCTCTTTTACTACTGTTTAAAAAATATTAATGCTCAGATTTGTGCTCACTCTAACCTCACTTTTTTTTTTTTTTTTTAAAGACAATTTAAACAAAAATAGTTTTGAAAAAGAATAAGTACTGGAGAAGACACAATGTCTTACTCACATAAAAGAATGATCTTTCAGACAGCAGCTACAAGCAAAAAATGTATGATCAGACAGAGCTGAACAGGCTGCCCAAACTCTGCTGTTTTCTGACTTTTTAGTGGTTGGTGCTGTAGCCTGCAACCATTATTCCAGTGCAATTTTTCTTCCAATTTATAGGCATGACAACATCCATTTGTGATATTCACTACAGAGCTCTGATAGCAAAGGGGTTAAATAATACAAAAAGGCAAAAAAATGCCTAAACTACTGTCTGTCTCTTGTGACCACAGGCTTTCGCCAGCATTCTAATGAGGGAAAAAATGAGATAAAGCAATACAATTCCTCATTCATCTGTAAGCAGTTGAGCACCAGAAAGATAGAATTAAATTGAGGGGAATTTAGACAGAGACAGATGATTAAAGGTCTGAGAGGACTAACTTCTGAGCAAAGATTAAAGGAAGAGAATAATAACAACATGCACTTTCATATTTCCTTTCATTTCAAAGCAAAACAAACATTAAGAACTATATAGTGTTGGCTGAGAAAATTGCCCATGGCCTCAAAGAGAAGCAAACCAGCAGGGTCAAAATGCAGAGGCTCACACATGAGCACACCAGATGCTTTCAGCCCTTTGTAATCAATAACCCACTTACAGTGGCTTCAGAATCACCAGTGGATTAGAGACAACACAATTCCATTTTTAAAAGCCCTCTTTGTCGGGAAGGGCAGATACAGCTGCACGAGAAAATTGAGAACGATTCCTCAGTGTGCTGGGAACAAGGCAAGAATCTCTCACTCTGAGAAGCCTTCTCCTTTATCCAAGATACTCACTAGTGTGATTTAAGTTCAGAAGGGGAAGGTGATCAGCATTTCTTCCCAGTTATGCACCTTGGTGCCCTTGGTGTCTTCAGTTGTGTGAATCAGCACATTCAGCTGGTAGCCCCAAGGCTGGATGAAGTACATGAGATAGTTTTGGCATCTGTATGATTGCCACCCACACAGAGAAGCACTGCCAGGTCCCAAATTCATCCCAGTACTTTCATGGACATTTAGAAATGTAGCCATCATGGCACACACATCCCAGTGCACCAAGCAACTGGGATTATCCCAATCTCTGTCTTTAATACCAGCTGACCAGGAGCTGCACTTCCCATGTACCAAACTGATGCAAAGGGTTAGGGAGTGAGAACAACCAAAGATTAGTTTTCCAAGGAAATCAAGTGCTGTAAGGACTTACAGAATGCAGTAGCCTGACTCAAAACGCTGTCAAGGTCACAGAAGGAACTTGCTATTATAAAATAAGCCACCACAACAAAACATGAGATAAGCACAGATGGCACAGTAGGAAGGAGCTCAGGCCTAACAGAGTTGAAGGTCTGGTTAGCATCCAGACAAAGAAATCCCACAATGGCAAACTGTGAGAAAGGAAAAACTGCTCACACACATGCTATCCCAGGTTATGGCAATGGCACTCACACCCCGTGGATACCCAGAACTTGGACATCATAAAGGTGATACCACAGAAGAATGACTTGGGGACCCTCCAGCACCTGGCTGAAGAAGGACTAGTGGAATGCCATGGGATCCATTGGGTAGTGAGATCTTTCTTTTAGTCTCTCTCTTACTTTCT